TGATGGAAAGGATGCTGTGGATAAGGAATTGAGACAAATGCTCCTGAGAGATTGTTTTACTCCTGAATTTGTTAAAGACATGACCGCGTCTGAGCGAAAGAAGGCCCAATCAGCGATGATGTTACTCACGGAGAAGCAATTCAAAAAGACAATTAAATGTCGCCTAGAACTAGTGAATGGTTATCGCGAGAGGACACTGCAAGTCCAACTGCTTCGCAGGAAGCAATCACCACTACTTGTTTTATTGATGCACACGAAGGTAGAGATGTAATGACAATGGATGTGCCTAACGCTTTCATTCAATTTTATATGCCTGAAGCTAAGGAAGGAGAAGATCGTGTAATCTATGTGCGGGTACTACGTGCAATATATGGGATGTTGCAATCAAGCCTCCTATTCAAAGCAGGAAACACCAGCTGGTAATGATTTACTGGAAGCTGGTAAAGGGAAGTTACTCAGCGCTGAGTACCGTCAGATCTTCCATACTACTGTTGCAAGGGGACTTTATGTCTCTGAGAGAGCTTGTTTGGATATCCATCCAACAATTACTATTCTTGCCTGGAGAGTTGGAGAGCCTACAGAGTCTGATTGGAAGAAGTGTGTTCGCATGATGCGATATTTGTTTTGTACATCGTTGTATCACCTGACACTTTCTGCAGAATCACTACGACTCATGAAATGGATGATCGACGCATCATTTGCTGTGCATCCAGATTTCAAGAGCCATACTGGCGGCACTCTGTCCTTTGGAGGAGGTGCAGCTCAAGTGATGTTGAAGAAGCAAAAGCAAAACAGCAGAAGCAGTACGGAAGCGGAACTGATTGCTGTTGACGATGTTGTCATGATGATACTATGGACAAAGTTGTTCATGGAGTGGCAAGGGTATCCGATCGAGAAAAATATCTTGTATCAGGATAACAAAAGTGCAATTCTACTGGAAGAGAATGGTCGCAAGAGCGCGGGCAAAAGAAGCCGAGCTATCGATATTTGTTATTTCTTTATCACAGATCAAGTTAAGAAAGGAAATGTTAAGATCAAATAGTGTCCAACTGACGATATGATTGCGGATTTCATGACTAAGCCATTGCAAGGTGAGAAGTTTTGCAAGTTCAGGGATCTAATTCTTGGTCCACAGGAATAGGTCAGACAAGTATGTATATGTTCAGAAGAAAATACAAAACAAACATAAACAGTGAATGAGAGCATGTCCCATTGCTGCCAATGGTGATTGTCACAATGGCAGGAGTGTGTTGGGATATGACAAAATATGAGTTTTTATGTTCCAAAAAGAAACTATTCAAGTATGAAGTTTTCAACACGTGCGATCGGACTTTGATCGTGATGTCGGGATTCGACGCAAGTATGCCGGACGCAAGTCTGTCGGACAATCTATATCCACACAAAAAGGGAATGACCCTATACAAGTGAGATATCGATGTTGTGTACAATGCAGTAGGGAATAATACAACTGTCCCTTACTCTATGAATGCTAACGGTGAGATTGCGTTCAGTGGAATGCAACTCAGCCGATAAGGCTTCAGTGGTGCTCAAGTGCGCCAAGGATTCGATGCAACTCAAGCTCGAACTCTGCAAGCTGTGAAAACTGGATATTTTGATATGTCAAATGTCTTTCACGATGCTATCAAGGGAAAGGATGAGAATGGCAATGATGTCTATCTTATTCCATGTCCTACTGGTACAACAAATGTCAAACTTCAAGCCAACTGGCACTATGCTAGTGAAGATGAAGATTTGCCTGATCTTGCTACTGAAGCAGATCGAGGTCTGCAGTTTATTCAAAGCCGCAGAAAGGAAAGAGATCCATTTG